CGTCGGGGGAGGGGTCATCCTACATAAAAATAACACCATTTTTTAACGTGAGAAGTTTAATGACAATCCATGATAATATTATAACGTTATCTTATATAAAAACCCACTTTTAGCCTTGCACGTTTTCTTGACTCCACGTTCGACATCCGCAGATATCTTTCTCCAACATTTATATATTATCAGTATAACCATAGTGACAAGTATGAGAATACCAATGCCGAATCAGACAATCCACACGGAAATTAAAAATATTGAATATAAAAAACAGTTTTTAACTTTTTAATAATAACCTTCCGGTCCAGAAAACGTAAATGTCTCAGACAATATTTACAATTGCAGATATAACTTGCATACCCGAGGAACTAGATTCCGGCTCTGATATAGTCAGCGATGGCGGAGTGAAATCGACAAGCTGAAGGTGAATCAGAATGTTACATTCATTCAATTAGTCTAAGACGTTATATATCTTCATGGATATCACAAATGTATAGCACTAAAACTCTCTGTGATTTCACTCCTAGTTTGTAGTGTTTTAAGTAAAACATTTGCAAAGTGATTGGAATAGTGATACCAATTAGCTAATCATATCGCTTTCCTGCACGTGACGAACGGATATTTGAACAAATAATCGCAGTGAACATTGAGACATATAATATACCCCCTCCTAGTACTAAAACTTACACCACAGTTAAATACGAAATGTACAGAAAGCATTTTTCATATATTTATGGGCATTTGCATTATAATCTTGAATAAAAGTTGGATTGAAAAAAATATCCTGACAAAATGAAAACATCTATCCGGAGGTCCACACAAGATGGAAATAAAATAGCAAAGCAACAGAACTCGCTTTTTGCATATTCGATGGTAATCGTCACAACATGAATAAATCTAATAGAGAACTGGTACATCTACCAACATATAAAATATTGAAGTTGTAAATTATAGTACGAATCCTATTTGCACTCGCTTTCAGCCGTACACAACATTAATAAGACCTTTCACGAAGAAGTTGCAAGTTACCCGTGAATCTTGTTTGCGCCCACAATAACTACTCCGGTATTCAGTACTAGTATAATCTCGAGAAAAGTCAGATGTGTGTGTATTAACGATTGAAGGAAGCACTGTATAATGTCAGGTGACTATTGTACGGTATATTGTCATGAAATACGAGCGGTATATTTTAGAACACACCTAAAGCGGAGTTTATGTGATGTTGCCAAATACATGTGTCGTAGCAGGCAAGAGATTGGACTTTGAACTCTGATTACCGACGATCATCTAGTCAATATGCCGTACCAGGCCAGGAATTAGTTTTAGTACCTTACCGAACTGTATCTGAAATAAAATTCACTCAACCTAACAGATAAGTATGATAAGTATTCCAGTCATATTATTACGCAGATGGCGTGATCATCATTCTCACAGAAACTGCACTATATATATATTTCGTGGAAAAAGTAATAATTGTTGGGAGGGGTTTCCGATCATATTGTTATTTTTGTAATGATTTTTATTTTCGAGCTATTAAATTCATTTATGTGATGTTGCCAAATACATGTGCCGCAGTAGCCAAGAGTTGGACTTTGTACTCTGATTACCGACGATCATCAAGTTGTGCAATGTAGAGAAGCCAAATAAAATTTGTTAATGAGTGGAGAAAATCTACCCTATATTGGTTGCTATATTTGTAGATGTGAGAACCCTAGAGAACCCATTTTCAATTTGTTTTTGAAATAGGGGGGAAATATTCCAAAAATTGATTACGACAATGCAGACAGAAATGATAAACAATTCGGTAATTATTTGCAAGACCTAGACTTGTGCAAATAAATGAAAGCTGGGTATATCTATAGTGAACTTTCCAGAAACGAAATAGTACACATGTATTTGGGTATTAACATCTAAAATAATTTAACATTGAACAATTACCAAAAGACACTTCTGATTACCCTTGTTTAGGGACTAATTATTCATTATAACCATTTTAAAAACACATTTGAATGTTATGATGCAGCCTTTTTCACATTCTCAAAAGAAACCATGATTCCAAGTTTCACTATAGTATCAACAATTACTATACGAGCTGTCCATTTGACAAAAAGATCAAGTAATATATATAACTTAAAGGTGTTTACAAACTATTCTTCAGAAATGTACATACAACACATGCCAAAGTCGAACTTGACCCTAACTGGCTAATACAATATCCAAGTTTGAAAAAGATTGGAGCAAAAATGTTCGACTAAGAAAACGCTTTACAGGGACAATAACAATGACAGATATTTCTCCCTCATTCTCTTCACTTCATTTCAAGCAAGGTAAAAATGCTTTTTTTATTCTTGATCAGATAAACACTTCATTAATGACATTGCCTCAATAACGACACCTCATTAATGATATCACTTCAATGACAATGCCTCAATAATGACAATTTATTAATGACATCGCACCAATAACGACACATAATAAAAAATCATAATTACATCAACTCAACATAACCTCAATAATGACATTATCTGAATAATAACCCAA